CCCCCTTCTTTCCTTCCTTCTTTCCATCCTTCCTTTTTTTATTTATACCCAAATGCAGAGCAGTAAAATGGTTATGCTGTCATTAAGCATACCTTGTGAACTTTTGGGTACGTTTTACTTGATCGCAACTCTGAAGTCAGTGCTTGGGTGCTGAGACATCATACCTGTCCGTCACCCAGTGTGACTGGCTGGTCACGCACACCTGAAACACCTAAAGACGACTCCACTATTCATCACAGATGATCTTCATTTGAGCGTTTGGTTTTACAGCAGTTCTTGTCATGCCCTGTTGGTGCATCTTTCTCTTTCTTCTTTCTGCTCAGAAAGTGACCCTTTCATAAGGGTTTGATCAAGACAACATGGAACAGATCATTTGAGCATGAGAACAGCAAGTCAGTGAGTGGGGATTAGAGCCACGTTACAGCAGATGCTGTCTTAGCTATGGCTGGTTTAATGATGTTGTGCTAATCATATCCGGTTTATTTGCCCTGCAGCATGTGCCTAAGCCTGGACACAAGAGAACAGACTCCACCCACAGCAGCAATGAGTCTGAGTACACCTTTAGCTCTGAAATTGCAGAAACCGAAGACATCCCGTTGAGGACAGAGGTACATGTAGACATCTATCACTAACAGTAGGATAGGATCATGCTGTTATTAACAGAACATTTGCATTGCAGAGCGGACCCCATTGGCCCATAAATGGAACATTTGTTTTGAACTGTTTATTCTTCATAAGTGACTCATAGGTGCTCAATTAGCTGTGTACTTACATACTTATTGCATATATTTTTGTCAGTAGACATTTTAATTTTTAATGTAATTTTGATGACCAGATTTTCCCTTTTGCAATTCCCTTTTACAACTTAACTTATTCTATGTACTAAAATATAGCCTGTCATGAATTTATTTCAGGGTGAGGTAAATTATTTTAAAAGTAAGCCCTTTGTCCTTGAATCTTATAAATACCAGTGTCCAAGAGTTTAGCAAAACTGCTGCCTCTGTTTGATGACAGTTTTTACCAATGTAATTTTCTTCCACAAATATTCATGGAAAACAGCTTATAAATCTGCCTGAGTGTTTTCTGTTATGTGGTACAAAACCAAAATGACATATTGCTGTAACTCCAAGAGTACAGTGACTTTACGTTAGATTGTTCCCAAACCAATTCTCAGATCTTCTTTTCAACTATGCTATTAGTTTTAGTAATGTGTAAATCAGGCACAACTCTCTTATTTTTATATCATAGTCTAAGAAAATGGCCAAGTCAGAAATAGACTTCTTGCAGAACAGCTGAAAAAATAAAATGATTCTTTCCTTTCTTGTCTTAGTTTTACTTAAAAATGAAAGGTCCCTGCCTTCTCATTCTGATTATTTTAAAGAAAAATGTTATATAGTTGGGATGTCATACAGTTGGAATCATACATACAAGAAAGCAAAGTTACTTGTCCAANTTTATGTATTGAATTGCTTAATGTAAAATTTGAATATAAAGCAAGTATTTATATAATTGAGTAGTTTCTCCACTGGTTTTTATTATAATTTCAAAGACATATTCATACAAAAAGAAAATTCAGCCTCTATTTGTAATAAATTATCTATTTTAAGGACTGTTCTGCATCTGGCAGTGTATCTCTTGTACTTTTAATAGTTCTGCACACCCTCTGTGTTCTACTTCACCTGCTATCAGGGAACAACTAGCTCTCTGTTTCTTAAAAGTATCATCCTTAAAGGTACCCTCATGGTGCAAATGGCCAGAAATGCTCTGAAATATCTTATTAAAAAAACAAGATAATTTTATATCTATGGGGTATTGGCTTCAAATTTTGCTTCTGTCTTCTAAAGAACTTTGACAAAGTTCTTTAAAATGTGACATTTAAAAAGTTAAAAGAGATTATGTAACACAAAAGCAATGAAATAAATTTATTGCCTTGCAGATGAGAAAAACCTAGTCTCAAAGAGATTGAAAAGCTAATTTAAGTCTCACCATTGGGCCATTATTTCAAACCTCACTACTCTGCTCTGATTTATATGTGACAAAGAGAAGTTCGAAGCAGGAGTAGATCACCATTATGCTTACAGTTGGCAAATCAGAAGGACCCTCATTAAATCTTGTCTTCCTTAATCTCCCTGCTGCACTTGGCTGTGTGGAAACCTTTCTTCTTTTACATTTTCTCATCCTCAGCTTTCTCTCGAGTCCTTTTTCTGTCTTTCAACCTCATGTTCCCCAGAGTTCCATCCTTGAGTGTATTTTTATCCTATTTACTAGATAACCGCACTTAACATTTACGGTTAACTTATGCTTTAGTTATGGCTGGAGCTGAGCTTTGTGTCCCACTGGGTGTTTCTGAGACCACTAGTTACTTGGGATGTTAAGAAGTGTCATTGGGAAAAGAAATGACTGAGGTCAAATAAATGTGGGGATCAGCCAGTTTAAATAGAGATAAACAGATTTTTTTTTTCTCCTACAGAATTTTTTGGACTTTTTAAATAGTGTGTGCCTTGTAAACCTCAGAAAATAAAACGAGAGAAGCTTATGCCATTTATATCACTCTCTGAGCACATTCCAGGGGCATCGGTGAGGTTAACTAGTCAGAGTTAGTTAGGTGAGGTTAACTAGTTCTTCGTCAGAGAGGGAGCCATCTGTAGGAAAGACCTTCCATTAATGGTCATCGTCCAGCAGCTTAACAGGGTTAGTCCTTCCCGCTGAGCAAGTCTCTGCCTGCTATCCATTCTGTCCTCAACAGTGCTGTGGAAAAAGAAAGATGTAACCAAGCTCCAGGGGTAGTTCAACTGCTTGAGTTCTGATTTCTCAGCCTATAACCGCTCTATTGTATGACTGCGACTCATTGTCAGTCCTCTTGGGTAACAAAATTGTCCGAGGAAGGGAAAGGCAAAGAGCGGAGGAGGGAAGCC